GTACATTAACGTCAAGTTGAAATTATCGACTCCTTCAGAAATGGTTCATCGTAAAAGACTGTAATAAAACCTACATTTAGAGCAATGGCGTTCTTATGAAACATTATAGTCACTAACCTAGTCTGAAATTACCCGCATTTTATGGAACCCGAGAATATTTTCCCACGTGCACATCAGTTCACTGTTGGACTCTATTCTGAGACAGTTAAATCCTGTCCACACCCTTACACACTATTTCTGTATGGTGCTTTTTAATATTATCTTTCATCTCCATCCGGATGTTGCAGGTGGTCTCTTCCTTTAGGGTCTCCGCACTTATTTCACAGCCATAATAACATTTATATAGAGTGTAAATTATGTAATTCCTCCTAGCGTATTTTTCTCCATTTCATATCACGACGAACAGATTCTATTCTAAACGTTTTGTTTGATGTGTGTGTAATTACACATATGTCTGCAAGCGAAAATAATTACTGATATTTGGTGTGATATCCACAGCGTAAATATTAATGTAATCATTTTATATTTAGTAAACGAACACAAAAACCAATGGAAAATGTCAGATTCGTAACAATGCTTTTGACATATACGTGTAACTAAAACCGAAATACGACTGTTCACTGCTGTTATTGTCAGCAGTAGATCATAAAATTAAACACAAATCTGCAGTAAATTTATTAGCTCCTACACACCGCAATTATTACTTATTATTCGTGTGACATTTCGTCCATGTTTAACGAGTGGTTTAGTGGATTACTTTACACTATAATGGATTTTACTAAAGGTAAATTAAATTCAGATCTCTTCAGAAGTGTAGCATTAGTCGTCTGTCACGTAAAGTGACTAATCTACTGGCCGTTAGGAAGGCTGCGGGAATATCAAAGTTATGCAAATTTCGCGGATAAACAGTACAGATTCTTACTTTTCTTAACTGATATGTTTGGCGTTGGTTGTGTTTGAAAGTTCGTGTCATAGTTGCCTAGTACTTAGCCTTAATCACAGCTTCCTGAAGATGAAACCAATATGATTTGTGCACTTAGGATCATTAATTCACATCTCCTCAAGAATTTTAAAGATACGAAAATTTTTGTATAATGTTGTAAATATCGTAAATTGATGTCCGAATTCTTTATTTAAAACTGTCATATATATTCACTTTGTAATCATGTTCCCAACCTGGAGTTTACATACTGGATACGGAGCTATTTCTCCAGGGATAAAGACGAACGAAGCGTGAAATTGACGTCTCTCTTACGATTATTAAGAAGTTGTGGATGAAGCGACTGACCTAAGATTTTAAATTTTCGTGGTACACACCGTCTGAACTTCTAGATAGACACCAACGTTCCGGAGCAGCAAGCTGCCTCCATTTTCAACCCAGAAAATGGAAGATGTATTTTTATCTGAATCGTTGGTGTCTACCTAGAAGTCCACGTGGCGTTGGAAACTAGAAAACCAATATCGACGAATTGATTTGTGGTCTGAATCTGATAGAACAGCCGTGGTTTAGCGCGAGTACCAACACATATCAATTAAAAGACTACACTTACAAGTAATCTAGGCTATATTTATTTGCTGTGGTATATTACTATGTGTGAAGTTTAATTGATTTAGAACCGTGACTGAGTCTGCCAATTAGCGTTTGTGAAAGCAGGGAGCATATTATCATTAACTTGAGACTCATTTTACATCTTTTACCCCATTATTGTTCGAAGGCCTAACCATACGCCTCAGGTAGAATCGTTGAGTATAATGTTAAATTTAGATTTATCGTTCAATGGTCTGATGACTACAGCTTGGAAATTCTTAGTCAAAATGTGTTCAACATTTCCCTCCATCTCGGCCTTATTAATGTATTTTTGTAGGATTTGAGGTTTCCACGGCGGTGAGTCTGAATTTGGCTGTCTTCTGGGTTGTTGCGCCGTGTAGTGTGGTAGAAATGTACCCACGTTTCAGAGGTTTCATTAGGGCGATCACCACACAACACGGCGCAACAACCCAGAAGACAGTCATCTTGAGTGTCTTTTTCAATTGAAATTACGGAGTTCCGATTGCATGATCACAGCGCCGATTTCCTTGCGACGTTTCTGTAAGGGTTCAGAGCTCCCGGTGAATCAACGTGCGAGGCGAAGACGGATGGTCTCCGTCGAATGTTGTTAGGGCTGTGTTTCTACGACCCGCCTGGGAGATAACCTGCCAGCTATGACACTTCAGGGACACAGCAAAGAGACATCTTCCTCCCTTTTTGGGGTGAAACTGTTGTGAAGCTTAAGGACACGCTGGCGTTGCACTGACGCTTTTAAAAAAACGTTTGCCGTTTGCTTTCTTGCTACTATCGCCCTCTGTTTCCGGCAACCCTCAAATTACAAGCATTTTCTGTCTTTAAAATACCTCGCTTTAATTATTTTTACCATTTGTTATTATAACATATATTGTATTTTAGAATTTTAACCTCAGTGATTATATACTGTAAGTATAAACCCAATAAGGACGTATTTTAGCAATGATAGTTGACATCTGTCATATCCACAAACATACCTGATAATGTAAGATTTGAGGTTTTCACAGCTGTTAGTATGAAGATTTCTGTCTTCTGGGTTGTTGCGCTGTGTAGTCTGGTCGATGTT